AATTTATAATATTTATGAATACATGTTCATAACTTTTAATATTAATAAATACACATTCATAATTATTACTCCGTAATATTTATTACGGAGTAATAAACTTCTGTATCCCTATCCTACTTTTTCGTGTTTTCACATATGTGATCCGAGCTTGTTCTATTATCCGGACCCTAGACTACTAGTACTCTAGTAGTAGTACTCCGTCAATAATTTAGCAAAAGTGAACGGCCGCGATTCATTGAGTTGTAATCAACGAGGTGAGGGGGCACCACACACCCACTATGATGATGTACATTTTTATCGTTTTCCAATCGCATTACGTTCCACGTCATTTTCACCATAAAAGCATAAACACACACAAAATATAGCATCAATCACAAACATTATTATTACGTACAAAGTTCTCACGTAATAATGCCGGCTTAGTAATTGCCCTAATTAGAATTAATCAAAACTTAATTTCACAAATAGGACTAAAATCTAAAGGATTATTAGCTTATTTTATCCCAAACTATCATCAAATTCACAAATCTATCCTACACTTTCATTTTTATCAAAAAAAGACTCAAACTTCATGTTTTTTTAACAATTATGCTTTTCTTTTTTGTTTTTTCAAAATTACATGTTTTTATCAATAGCAATAAGATATAAGCAATACAATTTTGTAAACTTAAAACTAGAAAAAAGTGAAAAAAATATGAAATATAAATATAACTTTCTTCAAAAATTTTACTAATTCATCCATTGAAGGTGTAATTGTGAGAAAAGTTGAAGTTTGAGTCTTTTTTTAATAAAAGTGAAAGTATGAGATATATTTGTGAATTTTATGATAGTTGGGGATATATTTATACATTAATTTTATACACCAATACCCCTAGGAGTACTAATGCATAATAAAATGTTTTAATTCATAATAAAATCGTATAAAATAACAAAAACCGTAAAAAATAAGAAAAACTTAATAAAATATTTACAAAATGAAATGAAAAAAATAAAATTAAAAAATTCAAAAAAAATCATAAAAACCCATAAAAAAATAATAAAAATAGTAAAAACCTTAAAAATAAAAAAAAAAGTGGATGTCTTTCCCACCACCTCTACCGCCTCCCAGCACCACCACCTCTGATCGGTGAAAAAATGTCGTTTTTTCTAAAACTGCAAGAAAATGGCATTATTACTCTTTGATAATGCAAAAATTTTCGTTGAAATTGTCATCTATGGGGGTGTTTGGATTTGATTCTCAAAACTGATTCTGCTTCTTCAGGAAGCAGAAGCAGAAGCTGGAGTGTTTGGGTGAAATTTCAGAAGCACTTCTGATACTCTAATTTACTCTCAGAATCAGTTTTTTAAGAAGTTGGGGGTACCAGCTTCTGAAAACTGATTCCGAATCTGTTTCTGCTTTAAAAAAGAAGCAGAATCAGAATCACTTCCAAACACCCCCTATATAACATTACTAATGCATGTTGGCATTTTTCCGGTGATTTGGGTGGTGATATGGGTGGGCCAGGTGGCAGAGGCGGCAATGATTTTTTTTTACGTTTTGTCTGTTGAGAGTATAAAAGTCAAAGTAGTCAATAAGTGCTGTATTGTACAACTTCTATAAATAAGAGTTGAGAGACTGAATATTTTAGTTCAGTCTTCACCAGTGTGTGGATAATGCTCACTTTGAGAAGATCGCATCCGCTCCATCTGCTCACGCTGCTTGGAAAATCCTGGAACAATGCAATGAGGGTGCAGATCAACTCAAGAAAGTGAAATTGCAAACATTGCGAAGGCAATATGAATTACTGAAGATGTCTAAAGGTGAAACAGTTGAGGATTTTATCAATCGGATTATCGCATTGACAAATGCGATGAAGAACTGTGGAGAAACGATGACTGAACAAATGATTGTGGAGAAGGTATTGCGAACATTGACTCCCAATTTCGACTATGTTGTTACTGCAATTGAGGAAACGAAGGATCTTGCAACCTACAAATTGGAGCGTTTGACAGGTTCTTTGCAAGCCTATGAACAAAGGATGAAGGAACGGAAAGAGGAAGATTCAGTAGAGCAAGTGCTTCAGGCCCAAACATCCAAGAAATCCAATTACCAGGGTAGAGGTGGATTCCGAGGCAGAGGCAGGGGAAGATCAAACAAATACAATTCTGGAAGAAATTCTCCTTCTGAGCATCAAGAACAACCTGAATCCTCCAATGGGAGGGGGGGGGGTTCAATAAACAAAGAGGTGGAAAGAGGAAAATTGACAGGAAGAAAATAAAGTGCTTCAACTGCAATAAGATTGGCCATTTTTCTACTGAATGTAGAGCTCCTGCACAAGGGGATCAGGCAAATACTCAAAGGGATGAAGCCAATATGGTCCATGATGGGAAGGAGACTGATGAGGAACCTGTGATGTTAATGATGACAACCAATCATGATGATCTGAATGCTAACATATGGTATCTTGACTCAGGCTGCTCTAACCATATGACAGGACACATGAATTGGTTGGTCAACTTTGATTCTTCAAAGAAAAGTAAAGTCAGATTTGCAGACGATAGGGTGACTGCTGCAGAAGGAGCTGGTGATGTGATTGTAAGAAGGCATAATGGTTCAGATGCTGTGATCACAGATGTTCTCTATGTACCAGGAATGAAGAGCAACCTTTTGAGTCTAGGACAGCTTCTAGAGAAAGGGTTTGTGATGCATCTTGAGCAAGGGTATTTAGAAGTGCTTGATTCTTCTTGTAAGAGGATTTTCAAGGTGCCAATCTCAAACAATAGAACATTTCAAGTGCAGATCTCTGCAATGGAATCCTATTGCTTGAAAACTGAGTTGGGTAATGACAACAACTGGCTGTGGCATCTTAGATATGGACACCTTAATTTCAGAGATCTGTGTAACCTGCACAACAAAGGTATGGTTAATGGCCTACCCTCCATTCAAATGCCTGGTAAATTGTGTGATAACTGTTTGATTAGTAAGCAACACAGATTGCCTTTTAATTCATCCATTTCATCTCGGGCCAAAGAATTGCTACATGTTGTTTATTCAGATGTTTGTGGTCCATTTGAAACCCCTTCCTTGGGAGGAAATAGATATTTTGTTTCCTTTGTGGATGAATTTAGCAGGAAAATTTGGATATATCTGCTTAAAGCAAAGTCTGAGGTCAGTGATACATTGAAGATATTTAAAACACTAGTTGAGAAACAATCTGGGCATTTCATTAAGATCTTAAGGACTGATGGTGGGGGTGAGTTCTGTTCTAATGAACTAGAAGCCTACTTTAAAGCCCAGGGAATTGTTCATGAAATCACTGCACCATATACTCCTCAACACAATGGGATTGTGGAAAGGAGGAATAGGACTGTTTTGAACATGGTAAGAAGTATGTTGAAGGGTAAGAATTTGCCACATAATCTTTGGGGAGAAGCTGTTTCCACTGCTGCACATATTCTGAACAGGTCTCCAACTAAGAAGTTGATTAATCAAGTACCAGAAGAAGTATGGTGTGGTCAAAAGCCTTCAGTTGCACATTTCAGGGTGTTTGGCTGTCTTTGTTACAAACATATCCCAAATCAAGTGAGAAAGAAATTGGATAATAAGAGTGAGCCAATGGTGTTTGTTGGTTACAATTCCACAGGATCCTATAGATTGTATAATCCCAAGACTAAAAAGGTGGAATTTAGTAGGGATGTGGTCTTTGATGAACTGAAAAGTTGGACCTGTGTTGATGAAGTAGACAATCCATCTCTTGTAAGAGTGGAACTTGATTTGGATAAGACTGATGTTCCCATATCTGGAGGGTCTGATCATGATACTAGTCATATAGAAAATGTCTCAACCAGACCTACCAGAACTAGAAATATGCCACTGAGGTTCAGAGACTATCAAGTCCTGAATGATTCTGAGATTAGTGAGAGTGGTGATCCAATCTACATGGCATTGATTGCTGATATGGATTCCATCAGTTTTGATGAAGCTATAACTCAGAATATATGGATTGATGCTATGAAAGAAGAACTGCAAGCTATTGAAAGAAATCAAGTGTGGGATTTGGTTGATTTGCCAGTTGGAAAGATACCTATACCTGTAAAATGGGTATTCAAAACTAAAACCCATGCTGATGGATCTATAGCAAAACATAAGGCCCGCTTGGTGGCAAAGGGGTTTATGCAGAAGCCAGGAGTTGATTATTCTGATGTGTTTGCTCCTGTGGCTAGGTTTGAAACCATTAGAGCAATAGTTGCAGTTGCTAGCAAGAGGAATTGGTCACTTTGGCATCTTGATGTTAAATCAGCATTTCTCAATGGAATGCTTGATGAATCAGTCTATATTCAACAGCCTCCAGGCTTTGAGATCAAGGGTCATGAACATCAAGTGCTAAAACTGAAAAAGGCTTTATATGGCCTTAAACAAGCCTCAAGAGTGTGGAATATAAGGATTGACTCTTTCCTTCATAGTGTTGGATTCAAGAAGTGTACCGTGGAGCATGGTGTCTATGTGAGAAATCATGAGTTAAGTGGAGTTTGCATCATATGTTTATATGTAGATGATCTTTTGATTACAGGGGATAATTTGGCAGAAATTGCGGTGCTCAAGCAAAAACTGAAGAATGAATTTGAGATGACTGATTTGGGAAAATTATCATTCTTTCTTGGTATAGAATTCACATACACTGAGCAAGGAATTGTGATAAACCAAAGGAAGTACTTATCTGAAGTCTTGAAAAGATTTAATATGTGGTCTTGCAAGGCAGTTGACACTCCAGTAGAGACAAATGTCAAACTGGATAACTGTGAATCAGAATCCAGAGTTGATGCTATGATGTATAGGCAACTTACAGGATGTCTAAGGTTCTTATGTCACAGTAGGCCTGAGATCCTTTTTGGTGTAGGAATGATCAGCAGATTTATGGCTAACCCTCGTCAGTCACATTTGGTTGCTGCTAAAAGGCTGCTGAGGTATTTGAAAGGGACATCTGAGTATGGAGTTTTATTCTCCAGAAGTAGCAAGAATGGAAAAGAAGAGTCACTTTTACATTTAATAGCATACTCAGATTCTGATTGGTGTGGTGACAGGGTGGATAGAAGAAGTACTATGGGTTTTGTATTCTTTCTAGGGAATACACCCATATCTTGGTGTTCGACCAAACAAGATGTAGTAGCCTTATCCACCTGCGAGGCTGAGTACATAGCAGCTTGTTATGCTGCATGTCAAGGGTTGTGGTTGCTGCATTTATTTGAGGAACTGAACCTGAAGATTACTACTTCAGTTCAATTGTATGTTGATAACAAATCTGCTATTGACCTTGCCAGAAATCCTGTATTTCATGGTCGTAGTAAACACATAGAAACCAGATTTCATTTCTTGAGAAGCCAAGTGAAGAAAGGAACCATTGTTCTGAGTCATTGCAGTGCAAATTTACAGATTGCAGATGGGATGACCAAAGCTTTGAAGACTGCAGATTTCAGAAAGTTTAGAGATATATTGCAATTGATTAGTATTTGATGTATTTCAGTTGTTTTACTACTTTGCTATTAAGGGGGGATGTTGAGAGTATAAAAGTCAAAGTAGTCAATAAGTGCTGTATTGTACAACTTCTATAAATAAGAGTTGAGAGACTGAATATTTTAGTTCAGTCATTTTTCCCCTTCCAAAATATCTGGGATATACTTTCCGTTTCTATTTTCAACTGTTCTAACATTGTCTTTATTTATTCATATTTTACAGGCAAGATGTGGATAATTCTTTGGGAACACAGCTTTTGTAGTTTTGTGCGTGTAACCATTGATCCAAGACTCCAAGTGTGTTTACTTTCTACGGAAAGTAAAGAAGCTTTGTATAGAGAATTCAAACGTGCTCTAAATGGCGAAGGATGACCAACCTTTGTTAGTAATATATACGGTTCGTGAATAATACAATAATACGTACGTTCGTGTATAATACGATACAATTATATAAAATACGGCTTAATATATGTTTCATACGTTCGTGAAATATATAAGGATACAGACGTCTTTTAAACGTTTCACAATTTAAAAATACGGCATATAATATGTGTCTTATATACTAATTTAATAATAGAAATAAAGAGTTATTTAGCATTTGCATGCACCACATTTTTCAATAATTTAAAATGTACGGAATAAATTTTTCATATATACGGATTTGAACACATAAGTACAATAAGTAATAAAAATGACATTGCCTATTTGAGTAGAAGTAGAGAGATATCATTAGAGAATAGTTGATATTACTGTGACCGTGAGTTTGGTGAGCCGCCACAACATTTTTCGATCTCTTTGTAGTCTTGGTATAGGTAGAGAACAAAAGTAATACAGTGGTAGTACAATACTAATATCGAAACGAATTACGAATTTAAGAAGCTAATTAACCTAATTTATTAAATGTAATCACTATTAAACAATTAACGAACATATAAGGCATACATTTTTTAAGCAATATAAAAAATATTGAGCAGCTAAACATTTCATTTCAGTTGTATCACTACATTAGGCTTCCGTTTAATGGTGTGTGTTTTTGAATAAAATATGTATCAATACATACAATACGTGTATTATACATTTTATGCTTAAACTCGCCTTAAAGTACGTAAGGTTTTCAGAATTTTCTAAAAAAATCATAAACGATAGTATTATACGGGAATAAAATACGTATCAATAAGTACGGTACGTGTATTATACATTTTATCCTTAAAGTATGCGAATTTTTCCGGATTTTTTGAAAAATTCATAAACGGGAGTATTATACGTGAATTATACGTTTGAGTGTATTATACGCGAATTATACGCGAATAAACTAACAGAGTGACCAACAACACTAGCGAGAAATCCCGAGAATTCACGATTGTCATTTTTATCGAACACTGATCAATAATAAATTTATACGATATAGAGTGTGAGAATAATATGGAAGCGTACCTTAATGGTAGCTCCAGAGGTATTATTTATAATAAGAGAGTCCAAGATACAAAGGATTTCCTACTATAATTAGACAACCTAATTAATATTAAGAAATGCATTATTACACCCCCTCAAGCTGTGTAGGGGAAACAATGCGCAGATTGTCCTGTAGAAAAGTAAAGCGCTGTGGAGAGAGACACTTTGTGAAGATGTCTGCCAACTGAAGCTGAGTAGGAACAAACTTAACCTGTAAGTCACCATGAGCTACTCGTTCACGAACAAAATGATAATCAATATTAATGTGTTTGCTGCGCGCATGCGGAAAACAAGCGCATCCAAACACCCGTAAAAAGGAATAACCAGGAGCTTTAAGAAAAAGTTTTTCAAACGGTGATAAGCCAAAGAGAACAGGAAAAGGTAAACGATTAATGATGTATGCAGCTGTAAAATTAGCGTCAACCCAAAAATTACTAGGAATAGACGCTTCAAGAAACATGGTCCTAGTTAATTCTAGGAGATGACGATGTTTGCGTTCAGCAACCTCATTTTGTTGTGGGGTTTCAGGACAAGATTTTTGAAAATAAATACCATGTGCATCAAAAAATTGCTGCATACTAAAATTAGCGAATTCACCCCCTACATCACTTTGAAAAATTTTGATTTTAGAATTAAAAAGATTTTCAACCAGGGCTTTAAGGATTTTAAAATGATGAAAAACTTCATCCTTTTTGCGCATAGGATACAACCAAGTGAACCTAGAAAAATCATCAATAAAACAGACATAATATTTAAACCCCAAGTTTGATAGAACATGAGACTGCCAAACATCAGATGAATTAACTCAAGAGGCATAGAAGAAGTATGACTAGCATCCATAAAGGGTAATCCTTGTGATTTGCCCAAGCGGCAAGACATACAATCATGAGAAAAAAAGCACTACTACAAATATGTCTGTGTTTAGTAAGAAGGCGTAAAACATGTTCGCCACAATGTCCTAATCTACGGTACCAAAGTGGACCAGATGTAGTGGCTGAAGACAGAGCTAGCGGAGGTGACTGGGGCACGCTAAGTGGATAAAGATGACCATCACTAGTTGCTCGAAGCATAACCGCCCTTGAAACTTTGTCTTTTACAAAAAAAAGAATTTTTATCAAAAATAGCAACACAGTTGTTATCCGCACACAACTTTTGTATAGAGAGTAAATTAAATTTTAGGTGAGGCACATGATAAACAGATTTTAGCACAAGGGGCGGCTGACATAATTTAAAGTAATATCACCAATATAAGCAATAGGGAGATGAGAGCCATTAGCAACACTAACTTATATGGGACCATGTTAGAACTTTTATTGTGGGTCAAGTTTGTCTGTAATGTCTTGTTTAAATAAAGTAGACTAGTTATACTATTTATGGTATTAGATTAGTATTTATTATGTAGCAAATAAGGTAAAGGGAATAAGGCCCAAAAAGGCCTTGGCCCAACTTTCAAGGTTTACCTAAATCGGTAACCTGTACAGCGCCTATAAATATGCGCCTTGTGTACAGGTACCGATATCGATCAATACACATTAGCCTTACGCTGCCAAATTTACTTCTCGATAAAACAGAAAGAAGAATTTCCTTGTTCTCGATATTGCCTTATCATTATCAGATCTTCTCTCTTTCTGTGTGTCGATGAAATCCATCTAGCTGCGTGTTAGTCTGCATAATCTGGGACCAACAACTGGTATCAGAGCCTGCTTGAGTGTGATCGTCGAAAAAAAAAAAAATTCGAAGTTTCTCTGTTTTCATACTTTTCGATATATCTCTTTGTAATCACTGTAATCTTGTTTCTGATCGATAAACTGTAAAAGTTATACCATTGGATTCGCCATTCAGAAACGAACCAAGGGTATATCTTACTTTTCGATTTCAGTAGATTCGGTATTTTTGATTTCTCGATAGTATGAGTTCGAAAAGCAGGGTTCTCGACATTTAAGCAGTTTTTTCAGGACGAAAACTATACAGGAAGACTCTCGAGATCAAAAACTTCACAGAAAATTTGTTTAAACTGTTTAAATCTGAACTTTTGATTTGCAGGATTTCGATACTACGTTCTCGATACAAGTTCTCGAACTGAGTTCTCGAGATTGCTTTCTCGATACTTAGTTTTCGATACTGAATATCTAAAAACTCTGTTTTTCAAATTGCAGGTTCTCGATACAGCTTCTCGACACTCAGTTCTCGAAACTAAGTTCTCGAACTTAGCTTCTCGATACTGAAGTTCTCGATACAGCTTCTCGAATCCTGCTTCTCGATAAACAGGTTCTCGATATTCACTATCGAAAACTGGTTCTCGATAGAACTTCTCGAACCCTAGTTTTCGAATTTTTCTTGAATTAGGTTTTCGACATTCTGCATCTTAAATTTTTTTCTGATCAAAACACTCGACCGATCTGTTAAGGCTCAATCAGCAAAGATGGAAGCATTAGCACTTGGAAATGACAACAGACCACCCATCCTCAGAATAGGAGAATATCAGATGTGGAAGACAAGATTCTTGAACTTTCTGGAAGGGAAAGACAATTCATCTGCCATGCTTGAATCACTCACACAAGGTCCTGCTGAGATCTATACTGAAGTAGATACCTCAGATGTAAACAACCCCCCTGTCAACTATGTGAAAAGATTGAAGACAAAAGGCGAATACACTGAGGCTTACAAGTTGAGAATCAAAGCTGATCTCATGGCAAAAACTTACCTGCTGCAAGCTATCCCCAATGATATCTACATTCTGATAGACAGCATGGAGACAGCAAAGGAAATGTGGGATGAGGTGAAGAAGTTAATGATTGGAACTGATCTTGGTTTGAAGACAAAGAAAGCGAACATCTTGACCGCCTATGATGCTTTTAAAGCCCTACCTGGTGAGGCGCTCCATGAGACGTATAACAGATTCGTACAACTGATCAATGAGATGAGGAAGATCAAAGTTGTCAAATCTAATATGGAAATGAACATACGTTTCTTGTCGAGCCTGCCGCCAGAATGGAGAAGAACTGTTAAGAATCTACGACAGCACCTAGACTTGGATGAACTTGACCTCTGCACTGTCCATGAACATCTACAGCAGTTTGTTAATGACACTGCTGAGATGGAAGGAAGCTTCTCCGCTAATCCTTTAGCACTAATGATTGAAGCTAAATCAAAGAGTTCATCTAAGGGTCCGAAGAAGAAGAAGGCAGTCAAGATAGAGTCAGAAGAAGAAGAGAGTGAAGAAGAAATGGATGTTGAATCCGAGCTGGCCGATCTACAGAAGAAGATGGCACTACTTACCAATCAGTTCAACAAAAGGTTTGCCAAGAAAGGAAGCTCATCACACAAGCTCCGAACCTCCTCAGCCAACTACAAAACAAAAACCAATGATCAAAACTCTTCTAGTAGAGTTGTTGCAGCCGAAGACCCCCTCAAATGCTTTAACTGTGGAAAAGCTGGACATGCTATCAAGGACTGTCGCTTACCAAAGAAGAGGGACTTCAACTATTACAAGCAAAAGATGCTGTGGAACAAGCAGAAGATGTTCATGGCCAAGCAAGATGATGATAGTGCTGCAACTCCTACTGAGAATGATCCATGGCAGGAGGAGAGTTCCGATGATGAAGAAGAAGAGAATCTGGACCTGATGGCGTTTGTAGAAGAAGAAGGAAAAGACAAGGGTGATGCTGCGATCCCCGGAAAAGGTCAAAGTTCAAGCTCAAACACCACTGTAAGTACTTCTGAACCTTCTTGCTCCTGTACTTGCAAAGTTCATTCCTCACAAGAAAAGGATAACACCATAAAGGAGTTAAAGGGCAGGTTAGATCATAACTACAAAGTTGCACTTGACACTCTAGATAAGAGTCACTCTCTGAAGTTGCAACTAGAAAATGAGAAAGAAAGAGTTCAGAAACAAAATTTAGAAGCAGAGAAGCTTACACAAAAAATAACTGAACTAACTAAGAAGGTCAGTGACACAGAACTCGAACGAAATGTTGCGAAAGCAGAAAATGATTTTCTACGCAAAC